TTTGGAAAACTGTCTGTTCAGGTCTTCTGCCCGTTTTTTAATTGGATTATTTAGGGGTTTTGAGGTTGGTTGTATAAGTTCTTTACATGTGTTAGATACTAACCTTTTATTGGATATGTCATTTTGAAATATCTTCTCCCATTAAGTAGGTTTTCTTTTAGTTTTCTTGGTTGTTTCCTTTATTGTAAAGAAGTATTTAGGTTGATGTAGTCCCAATAATTTATTTTTGCTTTTGTTCCCTTGCCTCAGGAGACACATCTAAAAGGAGGTCATTATGGCCGATGTCAGATAAATCACTGCTGTGCTCTCTTCTGGAATTTTTATGGTTTCAGGTCTCACATTTAGGTACTTAATGCATTTAGAGTTTATTTTTTTTATGGTGCAAGAAAGTGGTTCAGCTTCATTCTTTCACATGTAGCTGTCCAGTTTTCCCAATACCATTTGTTGAAGAGACTGCCTTTTTCCTATTGGATATTTTTCCCTGCTCTGTCAAAGTTTAACTGACCATATAATTGTGGGTTTATTTCTGGGCTTTCTATTCTGTTCTATTGGTCTGCAGAAATCTGTTGCATTTCTATACACTAATAATGAAACAGCAGAAAGAAAAATCAAGAAAACTATGACATTTATAAATGCACCAAAAATTAGATACCTAGGAATAAACTTAACCATGGAAGTGAAAGACTTGTACTCTGGAAAATGTCCAACATTGTTGAAAAAAAATTGAAGACAACACAAAGAAATGGAAAGACATTCCATGTTTATGGATTGGAAGAATATCGCTATAGTATCTATACTACCTAAAGCAATCTACATAATCAATGCAATCCCTACCAAAATACCACAGCATTTTCATAAAACTAGAACAAATAATCCTAAAATTTTTATGTAACCACAAAATATCCCATATAGTGAAAGCACTCCTTGAAAAAGAAAAACAAAAGTGGAAATATCGTAATTCCAGACTTCAAGTTATACTACAAAGCTATCAAAATATAGCTGATCTTTGAATTCTGCTATTTGAAAGTCATTCCTTTAGCTATCCTATATTCTTTTAGTACTGACTCAATTAGCATTTGTCACGTGCCTACAACGTGCCAAGCATGATTCTATGCAATAGGAAATTGTCAGTGAACAAAAGAGACAAAGACATCATCAATCTTTAAGAAGCTTACTTTCTAAGGGGGAAGGAAAAGTTCAAGAAAAATTTAATGAATTGGTTCATTATACAGAATGTCAAAAGGCAGTTAAAGGTATGGAGAGCAAGATCATGGGGATAGAAATTGTTGGGCTGGGCATGGCGGGTGGGTTGCAATATTACAGAGGTCAGTCAGGGTAAATCTCATTGAAAAGAGGAGATATGAACAAACATCTAGAAAGAATGTGTCAGCAAATGAATGATTAATGATAGGGCATTCCAGGCAAAGAGAAAAATTAGGGAAAAGTCCTAAGGCAAGGGAATGGCTGACGGTTGTGAAGAACAGCAAAGAGGCCAGCTGGGGCCACCTGAGCAAGCCGTGGAAACGTGTTGTAGGAGTGGTGAGTGATGTCAGGGAAGTAACAGGTGAGGGAATTAGGTCAAATCTGCAGCCTTGTAAGGACTTTCTTTTCTGTTGTGAACAAAATGGGGAGAGGAGACTCGTTCCTGGATTTTGAGAAGAGAAATTATATGATTTTAAGCTTTAAAATATTCACACTAGATGCAACGTCAGGGAAGAAAGTAGGGAGACAGGTTAGAAACAAGGCTGGGTGAAAAAAACATGGATGCGAGAGCAGCAACAAAGTCAAGATACGATGTTAGTCTGGACCCGAAGGAGAGCTCTGGCAGTGATGAGGTGCCCAGATTCTGCATGTATTTTGAGGGTAGTGTCCATATTATTTCCTGAGGAGTTGGATAGAGGATGTAAAGTAAAAAAGAAGGGAAAAATATTAGCTTTTTTAGTCTGAGCAATAGGAATGACGGAGTCGATATAAACTGAGATCTGGAGGGTTATGGATATAGGAGGCTTTTGAGTTGGAGGGAGACCCGGAGATAGATTTTGGACGTATTGCATGTGAAGACGTTGGGTTGGCAATTGGAATATATGTCCCAGAAATTCCGATGTTAGATCTGAGCTAGTGATGTAAAATCAGGTATCATTACGACATAGAATGCAAAGCCACGCGGGCAGCTAAGATTAATAAGGGAAGGACTGTAGATGCAGACAAGAACAGGACTAAAAACTGAGCACGATAACTTTCCAGTATTAAGAGATTGAAAAGTAAAGGGGGGACCAATACACAAGATTAGGAAGGAGTAACCAAGGGGGTAGAAAAAAGGAGAATGAGAGTGTAGGATCCTGGAACCCCAGTGATGGAGGCATAGCCAGGAGGAGAGAGTGAGCATCACATCAAATCCTACTGATAAGTCAAATAAGATAAAGACTATGAATTACCATAATAACTTTGTTATTAAATAAATGGCACATATTCATAGAAGACATAGCATATTTATTGCTTTCTGTCATTTGTTGCTTGAGTAAAATAAAACTATAAGACCAGAGGATATTGTCTGAAAATAATGAGTTCTTCAGGCTAAGGGAAGAGTATAGTAACCAAATCTCAGGCCAGATATGGCAGTGAAATCTTTTTAAAAAAATCATCTTTTTCAAAACAATCAGACCTTGAGAAATTCATTTAGTATCTGTAAACTCATTTATTTTTTATCTTCGAGATAAGGGGCCAAACCATACAACCCCTAAGCTCCCTCCACCTCAAGATTTGTGCAATTTGAAAATAACTCCCAAAATTCTACCACTTAATGAAACGGCATTCACATTTAAGTGTTGTCTTCTATTGTTGCCCATCTATGTAGAAAGCACACTTGTATACAAAAATAGACAGATTTTAAAAACAAGAATTTGATGTGTGCACTCTTAGTCACCTGATATTCCATAGTGGGTCTGGACTGTGGAGCAGATACACAGCGAGCAGCTACCCAACAAGGATTTTATCAAGTTTCCACAGGACCGTGGTTCAGATTTGTTTCTTGTGGAACAGAAGTTATTAGGAAACATTAAAAATGTGACCCAAGACAGCTAACAAGACCCTTCTGGTTACAGCCTATGACCATCTTTTTGAAAATAAGCATTTCAAAAGGTAATGAAAGGATGAGTATAAAGTGGCTATACGCAGTGAAAAATGAGAAGCTTAATGAAGGTAAATCCAAGGAAACCACGTCTGAAGAGACTCTGGATGAGGGTCCACCAAAACATATAAGATCTGTTCTTAGATATAAAACCAACTTCCCAAAAAGGGCAATGTTGTTCCCTGCTGGTTTAGAGGAACACTATAGGATGGGACTGGTTTTGATGCTAATATTCACGAGTTCAGAGGAGAAGAAAAATGCCACACCTCTAAGTTTGCAGGTTGGAAAAGGCAAAGTCATCAGAGGATGGGACGAAGCATGTACTAGGAGAAAAGGCTCACCTAGAGATAGAAGGGGACAGGGCCTATGCAAAGGACAGCCTGATGCCAAAATTCCACCAAAGGCAAAACTCATTTTTGAAGTGGAATTAGTGGATACTCATTGAATAGCAACGCTCCGGATATTAAGACATGGCCTTGAAGAAGCGTACGTAGCTAATCAGAACTGGTTGCTATTGCGATGGAAGAGTTAACTGGAAAATTCAAGAAGTTGGATATTCTTTACTCAATCCCCAACTTTTAGGATTTGTAATCCATTACAATTCCCTAAAATCTGAAATATTTTACTACATCTGTGTAAAATATTGGGTAGGGAGAACTGGCTTTCCCCTTTAACCTCATGTTGTAAACTAAAAGGCTCCATAAAATCCTATCCGGGTGTCCTTCAAAAAAAGTTTGTACCAACTCTTCCTTAGGGGGACGAGTCTAGGTGATACACAACTTCTAGGTTATTGCTAAATGTATTACATTTTCCAAGAGAGAGGTGGAGAGGCATGTGCGTGTGGTTTAGGAGATCTCTTTATGTGAGAGAGAGTCTCTCGATCATGAAGATATTTTCTGCATCTTGCTCAGCTTGGCTGAGGGGTGGTAGGTAGTTCTGGACAACTCTGGACACGTAGCTGACGAGAGATAGATGTCCAGGGCATAGGCACTCCTCACCAGCAGCTGCCAAACCATGCGGCTGGTTAATTTATGATCCTTTTTCTGTCTCATTTTGATCAGAGCCAAGTAACCGTCTATGATGGTTTAGCCCCATCCTCACTCTCACTGGAGGGGATTCTTCAGCTCTTTCGGACTCAAGCCATCTCCAGAGTCCAAAAAGACGATAGCAGAAGCCACTGCATTCTCCTTGTTCTCTCAGCGTCGTCAAAAAGGAAAAAAGGAAAAGGAAAAGCTTTCCCTCCAGATCTCAACCCAAGGGAAGGGTTAAATGAACTCTGTGATCACATGCCTCTCCCCACTTCTTCTCCCCTCTTGTCATAGTCCTTGGAGACCAGAGTCTCCTGCCCTGGCTAGCCCTCCTGCCCTCCGGTTTGCAACGGACATCTCTGCATGGGCGTGGGCGTGGGCGTGAAACATTTGTAAAGCATTCTTACTCCACAAAAGCTGGATTTCGTTATTATCTTATCGTCGCACATATCCTACTTGACAGGTCAGGGACTGAATATTATTGACTGATGCATTCTCTCCGAGTTTTCACTCTGACAATGTTAAATCTATCTGTACTACCCACGGCCAGGCCTTGGATGCTCAGTTCGATGGGAAGAAGATACTGTGCAGAGAATCAGAAGAGAAAAATGTTTCAACGTCTCTGAAAGATTGCCGCGGGTGCAAAGAAGAGATAAAACCCACATTTTCAAAAAGGACCTGTATTTCATATTGTACTCAACAAATGTAGATGAACTCCAAATAATGACGGAATTTTCTCAGACATTACCAAGGCACTTGGTGGTTCAAAGATTTGTGTCCCAACAATCCTATGAGGGTTGTTAATTAAGAAAACTCACAGAGGAAAACCTGTGCTTATTTTACAGGGAACCAGAGAGGAAGGATATACAGACCCTGCTATGGCTGCTCAGGATGCGATGGTGACTAGAACCAGATCTCAAAGTGGCTATGAAAAAAATGTGTTAAAATGGTCTGGGGTGTTTGGGTGCTACCTGCCAGCTCTGTGATGTTTCAGGTCCTGTGGGAAGCCTGTCAGCAGAAGACAGGGGAACACAAAACCATGCTGCAGATGATCCTATGCAACAAAAGCTATCAGCAACTCTGGCTGGGTAATTATTAATTAACTTTCTTTTCAGCCACTTAACTGATTGTATAATAAAAAGCAAGTAGCTAACTGGAAGGCAAGAAAGGGAAATGTCACAGACAAACGAACTTATTTTGAATTATGTGTATCCAGACATGCCTCAGCTAATGACACTACTAAGGAATACAATTTTCTTCTGACTTTATTTTTTCCAATAACTGAATTATATAACCTTGAAATAGTGAATCTTTTAAATCATCTGTTTCTGGTGGAGAACTTACTCAAATAAATTAGCTATTTTCTATTGGGTATATTAAATGTTTTCGTGAAGAAAATAGAGTGAACATGGCTTAGCGAGTCCATTATAAGTCAAGGAGATTATCATTAATGACATGATTTACATGAAGCTGCCATATTGGTCTTAGAGATACATTCTTATCAGTTTGCATGTTGTTTGACTTTTATACCTTTCTGTTTCTTTGAGCTAAAAAAAAAACTGGATTTTTCTACATATATGAAATAGTATAAAAAATCTGTAAAAGGAGATCCCTGGGTGGCGCAGCGGTTTAGCGCCTGCCTTTGGCTCAGGGCGCGATCCTGGAGACCCGGGATCGAATCTCACGTCGGGCTCCCGGTGCATGGAGCCTGCTTCTCCCTCTGCCTGTGTCTCTGCCTCTCTCTCTCTCTCTCTGTCTGTCTCTCTCTCTCTCTCTCTCTCTCTCTCTCTCTGTGACTATCGTAAATAAATAATAAAAAAAAATTTAAAAAAAAATCTGTAAAAGACAGCCTACTCCAACTCAGCCTGCACCCCTCCAGTTTATTTACCTTCACTACTTTTAGCAATATAATCAATATTTATATTTTAAATTTATATTTAATATCTTTATACTAATATGTTTATAATATGTACAAAATCTCCTTTGAATTACATCAATTTGTTGAAGTTTTCCAGGAATTTCAGAATATTTCTGGGCAAGACCTAGTAGATGCCATCAATGAATGCTATGATGGATACTTCCAAGAGTTGCTAGTTGCAATTGGTAAGTAATGATTTATTTGGTGTACAGAAGGCCTTTTATTCCACAATAAATGCTGGTGAGCTCTGACCGAATTAGAGGTGCATGAGTATGCTCTTCATTGAGTCACTTTCCCATTAATTTACTTAGTGAGGATGTTAACTCTCTACAGGGGAAGTACATTAGCTACTGACACAATGCACTAGGCTGGCAAATTGTAACTTTAAAGAACTAATACCCTCCCCTAATAGCTGGTTCAACTTTCCTACTGGGGAAACATTGAATTCTCAGATACTCCCTCCGATAACTGGGATCTCACATCTTTAAATTCACGTTATACGTACTGGCTTCCATCCCCTTGTTAAAGAGCAGATTAATGCTAGCAACACGGCTTCCTTTTCTCCAAGAAGAAAAGAGTTTTTTGCCATCATCTTCAGTACTTTGCCTTTAGGGGTAAGTTCTACCATAAACACAGATTTACCAAGCTGTTTCTCAGTAGTGATTTCTGCAGGCTTGTGAGACAGACAGACATGCCTCCGTCTCTTTCGTAAGAAAAGATGTCTTTCCACAGAGAGGAAAACAGTGGAGGTCTCCCATAACAACTTCTCTCAAATTACCTATGCTGTACCCGTGCTGTGCTATGACTTGACAGCCTACGTCGTAGGAACTACAAGTGAAAGGTCTTTGTGAAATATCCCCGTAGAGGATACATATCAAGTAATCACTTATATTTCTCCAATAAAAGAATATTATGATTTTCCATTCCTAGAAAGGCACAAGCATACATGGGCATTGGAGAGGGTAGGTAACAGGGGTTTTATAACTTAGCTTGTAAAGGTGTTTTAAGCTAGGTTCCCATAAAAAGGTCTGGTGGGTTCTATGAAATCCTTAAAATAGTATACGATACATGAGTATTTATGTGTTTTTCTGGGAATAAAGTACATTGGTTTTGGCTAATTCTCAACATAGTTTAATGACCACGTATCACATCACAACTCATTTAGCAAACAAGGTCCAAGGAGGTTAACTGACTACTTCAGAGTCTATCAACTAATGAGCAACGAAGTTATGACTAGAAGTCGTGTCATCTGAATTTCAAGACAACTTTTTCCACCGTAGACCGTACCACAAACAAAGCCGTGAGTGAGAGGAGATAGCAGACATGAGAAATACCAGAAAACAATTTAACTGATTCATTCACTTATTCAATAAACAGGTATTGAGTTACGTACTATTCTGGCCATTGATTTAGACGTTGCAGATGAAACAGTGAAACCACAAAACCAGCAACCAAAGCTACTTCTCCTCAAGGTGCCAACATTCTAGCAGAGACTCAAGAGTACTATGAAGCTAAAAAAAAAAAAAAAAAAAAAAAAAAAAAAGAGTACTATGAAGCTCGTGGTTATTAAAAAAAAAAAAAAGTAAAAGATGAAGGCGTAGTCTCACAACCCAAAATTATCATTTGAACTACAGAGAAAACACCACTGTGATGATTTTTATTTCGGCCAAAAGTTGTAACCTCACATATGCTATTCGTTTACTTATTAATTTGTTTACTTATTCAAATAAACACTATCGAATGGCCATAATCATCAACTGACCTCCAACAAGAACAACAGTTCACCGGGCTCTGAGGGGTTCTAATGCCACAAAGGTTTTGAGTAGAAGACTCCTAACACTGGTCCAGGCTCCTTATGGCCCATCCAGGTTTTCTTTAGGAGACCTCGGATTTGGGGCACCTGAGTCACTCAACCGGTTGAGGATCCGACTCTTGGTTTCAGCTGTGGTCATGACCCATGTCAGGCTCCACATTCAGTGGGCAGTCTGCTTGAGGTTCTCCTCCAAGCCTTGCCCTGCACTCTCCCTTCCCCCAATTCTCTCTCCCTCCCCCTCTCACTCTCTCTTTCCTAGATAAATAAATAAACCTTGAAAGAAAGAGAGACCTCAAATCTACTCATAAGTCTACGAGGGATTAAAAATAATGTTTGGGAAAATGAATCATTTGCATATTGTCACACAATAATAAAAATCTATAATAGTGGTGATAACCTGGGTCTCTTTGAAGCTTTATTTAATTTTCAGATAAAGAGGATGCATTTTTCTGTAGTAGGCTATGTGAAGGAACTAACAGATCACCACGGGGTAGAGATAGACTCAATGAAAACCTGAACGAGTCATTATAATATTGCTGCTTTCCATTTTTCTATGGGTCATGGTTTTACCGCCATTCTAAATAGTGAAATTTTACTGTAGTGTACAATGAGGGGTCCCACACAGAACTCAAAAAGTATCACTCTTCCAGGATTTTAACAGAAAAAAAAAAAAAGAAGTGTTCTCATTGTTTCCCAAATTCTGAAGGAAATATATATTGTCACCCTCACTCTCTTTGATTTCTCTGATTTTTCCTAGTTCTCTGTGTTCGAGACAAACCGGCCTATTTTGCTTATAGACTATATAGTGCAATCCATGTAAGTACGACCGACATATTTTTAAAACTTCTCCAGAAAATCATGTCTATTTTCTCAAAGCACTAGGTTTACTTTTATTATTTAAATATTTTTAACTTGTGTGCAAATATATTCATTTCAAACAAATATGCTCAAGTGAAAAAAAAATGTCTCATACACTAGATGAGACCCACCAAACGAATGATGCTCTGCTCTCTCTCTGCGCCGGAATGAGTTACCTGAGAAGCGTGGCTCCTTCGGGACTATATCCCCCAGGAGCTCTTCACTCTTCTCAGCCTATGAAGAAACTGGCAAATCCAAATACTTTTATATTTTGCCAAAGACCCCCACTTCAAGCTTAATGCAAGGAAAAAACATATAGTATCAAGCAGAAAATGTCAAAACGTTATAAGCCCTTAGTAACAAATTGCTACATTTCTGAAGTTTAAAGACATGAAATAATGGCACTGGTTATTTTTAAACCTAAAGTGTTATTTAGAAAAGAAAAATACCTTAAAAAGAAATGGCTAGACAAGAATAAATTCTAAATCTATTTTAATAATCAAATGAGAATCTTATTCATAGTTTAGTGTGATTGCCAATCACACCTCCTTTGGTGCATTTATTTTTTAAAAAACAAGAGGTTTAAATTCATGAGACAATGCACAATTCATCCATGATGTGCATGACACATTTTTGGAAAAAAGAAAGATTCTGATACAAATCATTATACATATATTATAGCCTCAAAAGCTCAGTGAAAATTATTTTTCTTAAAAAATTAGTAATACGGTAGTTTTAGTAATCAGCATCCTGTCCTCAAAGTGATTTTTACAGACCAACTTATTAAAAGTAGCTAGCATGCAGGGATAACGTAATAGTCGAGACTATTTCTACCATGTATCTTGTAAAGAGTAGTTTTTATTTGTGTACAAGAACCAACCTATGTATCCTCAGAACACATATGCTCACAGCCTTCTGTTTCTATTTTATTCTATATCCAAGCAGAAAAAAAAAATTGACTTGATTTTAAAAAATTTTAAGTAACGTATTGGCCAATGCTATGGAATGATTTAAACAGTGTCCTTCTCCACAAAGAGAAGTTTCACTTGCAAAAAAAAAAAAAAAAGTTTCACTTGTGAATGATCCTGGGGAAGTAAGTGTAGTTACTCTGATGCCAAATTTGCCCAAGCTAAGAGGTACTTATTCCAATAATAAATAAAAATTCTATTCCTTCTGCGTGTGTTTCAATACAAAACTGAAGATACATGTACTCACAACTGGCTTGGAGGTAAAGAGGAAGATTGTATATTCAGGTAATTGAATTTTTGATATATGATGACCTCAAATGTAAAATATTGGTAAAGCTGTTTACACTGCCCCTAACCAAAGAAAATCTACAGAGATTTTTCTCTCGTGCACTCTAAGTAACTTAAATATGGGAACTTGGGTTAGTCACTTAATTTAATCACCTCAAATTGTGAAAATATGGCTTAGAGGTCTACACACAAAACGTTTAGACATCAAAAATCTAATGCTCAAAAAAAAAAAATTTACATTATGCTCATTGGCCACTGGATGTCCCCATTACTCCATTTGGAAAGACAAATAGAACTTCGTTTGTAAAGTAATATTCTCTCCAGAGCTAGGAGATAGAAATTGATCTTTGTATTTTTCAGTCCTTGTGTTTAAATCCAAAAATATTTCGAATACTCAGAATTTTTGTTTTTACAGTTTTTAATAATAGACCATAGAATAAAAACGTAACTGTTGTCCCACTCAGACATATCAACGTCCGTCTAACGTAATTCTAAGCTCACCTGCTTCCCCGGGCTAGAATTTTTATGTAGAAAGAGCACAGGATCGGACTTTTGTGCTATGACACGACGTGAAGGCGACAGTGTGAAGGTTGGCTAGGCTACAAGTAGAAGGACCTATCTCAGGGTGGAAGGATGAGGCCCAGCCTCAAGGCCCTGACGTGGGCCTGGAAATAGCATCCCTGAGGGGCCCGCGCCCAGACGCACCGACCCGGCCAGTGAGGAAGCAGAAGTTTAAAGAGCATCTGGACTACAGGGAGAGGAAATGCATTCATTAACCTTACCACGTGCACCCATGGGCAACAGACAGTCGAGGTCTCCCTAGGGTCAGAAAACCGGTCAGAGCCCCAGGTCTCACGCTCCCTCCCCGCCTTGAGGGCAGAGACAGGCCCAGGGCCCAGGGCCGCTGCTAGGGCTGCCCCGACGGGCCCGGGCCCGACCCGACCCTCACCCGCTCCGGGAGTCCCTCCAAGGGCAACACCCAGACGGCCAACGGGCGCAGGAGCAGACGTGCAACGTCACTGGTCCTCGGGGAAAAGCAAGTCACAAGTGCAGTGAGCACCCCCGGGCGCCCGCGTGCCTGCCAGCCTGGCCCTATCGCAGAGACACAGAAGAACAAGCCCGGGCTGGCCACGCCGTGGAGCGGACAGAGCCCGCGCCGGCTACTGGTGGCGTGAACCCTGGGCAGCCAGTCTGGGGAGGAAAGCCTGGAGTTTCCTGGAAAAGACCGGAGACGCACCCGCCATACAATCCAGCAATCCCACTTCCGACTGTTTATTCAGAGAAGCAAGAACACGGGTCTGAAGAGGCGTGAGCATCCCTGTGCTCGGCGAGGATCAGCCTCGCGGCCCCGAAACAGTCTGTGCCCGTCAGGAAACAACGGGTCACACGCGCAGGCAGGCCCGCGCACAGGGATAGGACTTCGCCATGGAATAATCACGGGATATTGCCACTGGCAAAACATGGGGCATGGGTGCACCCAGAGGGTGTGAGGCTAAATTAGATAATTCAGACAGAAAAAGGCCAATACTCTGCTAGTTCTTTGACGTGTGGGTGAAAGAAGACGCAAACAGTCTCATGGCACAGGACACAAGCTGCGGGTCACAGAGGGGGAGGGCGGGGGACGGCGGGGCGCTGAGGGGGATTAGGAGGCCCAAACTCCCAGTTACAAGGAGACAAATGGTGCCGGTGGAACCCGGCCTCGGGGACACGGCAGCAGTGTTGTCAGGACGACGTAGGTGCAAAGCTGCCCGGGGAAACATCGGATCCCGGGGCCCTTGGGTGCCGCATAGACCTTGACCCACTGGGATGTACGAGTAGGTGAGAGCGTGTCAGTCACCCCTCCACGGAATGAACCAACAGAGGGAAGGAGACAAGGCCGACACCAGCACAGGGCACCGCAGGCGCAGGTGCAGGCGCAGGTGCAGGCGCAGGTGCAGGCGCAGGTGCAGGCGCAGGTGCGGGGCAAGGCCCAGGCCCAGGCCTCTCGGGGCCTGCAGGGTCTGAGCAGGAAACAGCCCCGCAAAGGGCACGAGCTCTGCAATAGGAAGACTGACCTCAAGGCCCTGCTCCCTGATTTTTCTTTTTTTCCCTCTCCTTTTCTCTTTTAGGACTTCGGTTTCCATAACAAAACTGTAATCAGGATTCTAATCGCCAGAAGTGAGATAGACCTGAGGACCATCAGGGAACGATACAAAGAGAGATACGGGAAATCCCTATTCCATGACATCAAAGTAAACCTCCTGCACGTGATTTGTTTCTGACCCACATTTTAACCTTTTTGAAACTGAAGTAAGAGCTTTCGTTCAAATGACTTCGTGTGAGAACCTAAAAAGTTAGCTATTCTGGCAAGGATGGTCCGTGTCGGCACGTGGCACAGCCTTCAAGGCCTCCCCGGGTAAACGAGGCGGTGCCTTCACCTCAGCAGCAGTGTGTTTCTCTCTGGTGTACTTTAAACAAAAATCGTTGATGGATTCAGGTAAAATATCCATCGCCTCATTGCGTGGTTGTGCCTTCTGTGCCTTCAGTTCGAAGCATGAGCTGTGTCAGGAAAAGCACAGTTGGCTTAAGGCCGCACATACCGAGAGGAGGCTGCTTAGGTCCGCCCAGCTGCCCCCTCCGAGGCACAGAGGGCAGGCCCGCCAGGGAACCCCACAACCCGTGACCCGGACAACCCGAACCTGGCCGCTCTGTGCTCTGGAACACTCTCCGTTCCTCTGTCCCTTCAGCCCCCGACAGCAGAGCAGCGGCGATTCAGAAGCACAGTCAGCCCCGCCATCCGATTCGCCCAACCTTTAGTCTGGATCTTGATAAGACCCAGTAAAGAATTATTAGAACATACAGGACCGCCTATGTAATTTGGGGCACCCAACCTAAAATTAAAATATTTCACCTCTCATTCAAAAAAAATCATAAAGAATTTCAGGACGAAATTCAGCAGACACTGAACCAAGGGGCTGTAGACTGCATCTTACCTTATTCTTCGCACGGAGAGCTAAGTGCTGTTACCTGTTCAAAGTGCTTTACACTGACATTTTCAGTGGCATAAAGTAGCTTTTCAGTTGATTAAAAGAGGGATCCAGAAGCAACTTGACAACCCGAGGACCAAAAGATCAGAAAACACACACACACACACACACACACACACACACAAGACCCTGTAGGGCTTTGCACAGCCAAAGTGGTTTCCAAAAGGAGGCATCGTGGCAGTTAAGAGAAATTTTATTCCTTCGTTTTGATAAAACCTTCCTTGCACCTACCTTCAAAACCCTAAGCTTTTAGTGGCAATAAATATTTCTCATTGAGAAATACATGTCCTAACTCATTTTCTAAATGAATAAAATAATTATGATATAGATACCGCAATTCACCACGGTCACCTCAAAGTCTGCATATAATTAATGTAACTTGGCCACATTTAAAACAGTGAATTATAATTACATGACTTTGTGTGAGAGAACATTAAATATGATAGTTGATTTTTAACACAGGTTTTATAATTCCGTTTATTTATTTATTACTATTATTGTTTTGAAAAACTTAGAAACTGTAGAAGACCGTAAAAAGAATCATAAAAATTGCCCTTATTCTCTGTCACAGAAGATCAGTAGCAAAATGTTAGACACTATCTTTAAAATATATATATATTATATATATAAGTATATTTTATACATATATAAATTATATATATAATATTTTATATATATATAATTTATATAATATTTTATATATATTTTTACTACATAAAGGAATACTTTTATTGAATCATGGTATTCCACTGTTTAAGTTATAAAATACACAAACTACCCCACATTATTAAATATTGCTTTTTTACTTTTTCACTATTATACAAAATGTCTATGTTTTTTGGTGTAAGTTTTTGTGTTCATCAATAATTGATCATTTTCTTAGGCTATATTTCTGGAAGTAGAACTACCGCATTACTGAGTACAACATTTTTAGGTCTTTGGAGGCATATCGTCAACTTGCCTTTCAGATTCTGAACTGATTTTTAGCAATAATATTAGGGCACCTCTTTCAAAGTTGAGGAGAAGATTTAATTCTACTGTGAGTTATTCTTTTCATAAATACATATTAGAGTTCAATCAACTTTAGATGAACCCTATTGTATTGACTATAACCATGGTATTATTTTTCAATAACTTCCACTCGAAATAGTTCTCAGGACATACTAAATCTTTAGATGAAAAAGGTCAACAATCTTGGAAATGCTAATGGCCCATGGATCTTTCTCATTGCGGTTCAGAAGAATCATGCTTCATTTTTAGAAACACTAAGATATTTTGTTTCATATACATTGTTTTTTTTTGTTTGTTTGTTTCAGAATTTTGCTTCAGGGCATTATGAGAAAGCTCTGCTTGCCATCTGCGCTGGGGATGCTGAAGACTACTAAGTCAAAGGACACTGCACTCCTCTTCAGAAACATGTCAAAATACAGAGTTGCGAAAAGTTTGCATCATTAGAAACATTATAGCAAAACTATAGAATCATATTTTCTTTTCTCTTTAAAATCATTCTAAGCCAAAGAAAAATCTATTGATAAAAGTACATGAGACTGGATTTGTGCTTATCATCGAAATCAGAAATTTACTGAATTGTGTCTAATGGAATAATAAAAATTTCACTGAAATATATTTTATTTATTTATTTTTAAAGATTTTATTCATTTATTCATTAGAGACACAAGAGAGAGAGGCAGAGACATAGGCAGAGGGAGAAGCAGGCTCCATGCACGGAGCCCGATGTGGGACTCGATCCCGGGACTCCAGGATCACGCCCTGGGCCCAAGGCAGGCGCTGAAGCGCTGAGTCACCCAGGCGTCCCCAAATATATTTTATTTAAATGTGAATTATAAATTCCCTACAAGAAAATCTACTTAGAGCTGTTCTTAGCACGCTTGGGGGAAACACGGTGTGTGGCCAACCCCCTTGGAGAGATTTTCAAGATTTTCTTACAAATGCAATAAAGCTACAGTGAACGTCTAAAGCTGCCTTTATTTAAAAGAAAATGAAGCTATAAAACTGCAAGATGCAGCCAGGTAGACGCTTGTCAGGCGTAGATGTGTAAGAGAGCCAGATGTGAAAGTGGGTGTCTATGTCTGTGTGTGAGTGCATACATGAGCTGGGGGTTGAGGGTGAGTATATCTGACAACCATTCCGGTAAAGGCAGTTTATTTCTAGCCCATTTTTTAAATACGTGCGCCTACCCAACCCAACATTTGCCCATGCAGTGTCATAAAAGTCACTACTTATTGTTTTTGTCTTTCCTTCTTAACATCCACATCAAAGTCATTTGGACGTTACTATGCGCTTTGTACCATCAGGAAAGCCTGGCCCCTTGCATGTCTGAAGATTCAGGAAATTAGGAGCAGCAAGGGAAAAATACTCACAAGGTCAGTTTGGGGAGACCATCTAGATTGATGCCACAAACTAGCCAAGAATAAAAGCAGAAACAGGGACAGGTGAGTCCACAACAGAGGGCTCCCAATATATGCAAGGGAAAAGATAAAACCCAAGATCCCAGGAAGCAGCAATTAATGAAGTCAACCAAGGAAAATGAGGACACATGCAATAAATCTAGAGGAACTGGTGAGGTTGATAGGAGTCCTCTATTCTAACATGGAATGTTTTTCTCAATAGCCTGTAGCCCATTCCCTGTAGATCTGTCTCAATCAGTCTCAGAAGTGAAAAATATATTCAGAACCTGTTTCTTTACAGGCAAAAATGATACAGGACATTTAGAACACAGTGACTGGGCACAACATGAAATATTTCAGAATAATTAGACTTCTGAAATCATTTCCAATATTTCAACTTGCTGCTGAGGTATATGTCATATTTTAAATTGGCTTTGATTTCTATCTTTTAAAAAATATTTCAAAAAATAATAAAAATAATAAAATAAAAAATATTTCATTAGCGTTTCAGTCAAAGGTAGTAATTGTTTGAAATATTAAGCATAGTTATTCTACAATTTTTTTCAGCTAAGAGTTTTAAAACAAGCAAAGTTGTTAGAATTCCTACTGATAATTTAGATATTTAAATTAAAATTTTCCTGGCTAGGACATTTTTGTGTCGTACTTTAGGACATTGTGGAATTTATACTTTAGCTAGGTAATGCTTTTTCTTTGGTATGGCACAGTGTTGTCAAATCAAAATCAAATCTGGACTTAGATAGGGAGGGGTTTTATTCAAAAAACTATTGCAATAAATGGAGAGAGGAGCTGCAACAGGGAAAGAAGGGCTACTGCAACAGAAAGGACGCTCTGACCGTGAGGTTTGCAGGGGGCTCAAGCATCAACCAGCAAAGGATGTTTAATTTATAGGAATGAATAAACAAGGCTGGAAAGAATCGAGTGTGGAGGAATGGGATGAACTTGTGGTGACTGGACAATCCACGTGGGGATCTCTCTGGTTAACGTTGCCAGTCGTCGAACTGAGAATGGACAGTTGATCTGGGGACGCCTCCAGTTAGTTTTCAGCAGGAACCGAAGGGTGGATGAAAGTCCAAGGAAAGGAGAAACCTGAGTAAAGTTTAGTCAAGTCAAGTTAGCCTACAATTTGTCCAGATTGGTCAGTAGGGGAGAACAGTTCAATTACTCATTTATGAGACAAAGAGTAGGAATTTGAAGGGCGTGTTGAGGATTGTTATGGGTAAACAGGGGTCATGTGCAAGTCTTATCTAAGTCATATGAGAAAGAATGGTTCTATATAGTAGGCCATTTTCTGAAACACAAAAGGGTGGGAATATTTCTTCACCATTTCTATTTTCCAGGATCACAGCAATAAAGATTAACATTGTCAATGTCTTTTTTTTTCCCCCAAAGTTTTGTCTTGAATGTTTCACTCAGTTGTTTAAATGCCAACATAACATTATCATCTTCACTATCACATAATTCACTTAGTAAAATCCTGTAAAAAAAAATAAGTGTTTAAGTTATTATCATTGTTATTTGTACTTAATGACGTTTAGCTGTTTATATTAGCCCAAATGTTTACTATACCTGATGGATCGAATAACAAGTGAAAAATATCTGATTAAATCGAAAGCATCTCCCATATTGAAGCTGTAGGGAAAAAAATGTTTAAAGGAATAAATTTGCTTTTGGTGTGTTATTAACTTCCAGTAAAGGAAATACTAAATGACCCCTGAATTCCTGGCCATTCCAGAGACAAAATTAAATCAGATATGGAAAGACTGCAGAGAGGGATTTATGTCCGTTGTATTCAGTATTTTACTATGCTCAGTTTAGCCCTAAGAAGGTTAAACTTGTATGTGATGTCACTGAAAATGACAAAGTAGTTTGCTTTAAGAGCCCATCCCTCCACAGAAGCATCCAAAACAATCATGCAAAAACTGTCATAATTAACTTTGTCAGAACTCTGAAAAATAATAACTCTGAATCAAGAAAAAAGTTACAGAAAGTAGGAAAAATTTGTGATATTTTTATTTGTTATTTCTCCATCCTCCTCCCAGCTCAGTGACAGTCTTGAAGACAGCAGCCTGCCCCTAATGTGGACTTCGGGTTCCTAGTTCCGGAAGGAGCAGATCTGGCTTTTTTTTTTTTTTTTAAGATTTTATTTACTTATTCATGAGAGACAGAGACAGAGAGAGAGAGAGAGAGAGTAAGAGAGACAGAGACACAGGCAGAGGGAGAAGCAGGCTCCATGCAGGGAGCCCGACGTGGGACTCGATCCCAGGACCCCGGGGTCACACCCTGGGCCGAAGGCAGGTGTTAAACCGCTGAGCCCCCCAGGGATCCGCTAGCTTACTAACAAAGAATATGTTTATCTGTCTGTTCTGTCTGGGAACTTCCTAAAAGACCAAGGTGAGGCACTTGTCTTTGTTTGGTCCAACTCACTCAAGGGGGAAAAAAATCATAAGACAAATGAGCCACCTGCAGCTGTCTAGGGCAAAAGATTACAGTTGAAGCAGTACAACTGAGTAATAAAAACCTGTGAAGAAAATTTGGGAAATCTATACATTCCCCCTATATAGGGGATGTAAAAGGCCATTCACTTACCTAAGGCAGGACACACGGCTAAAAACTCTTGAGAAGATCTTATGCTTTCAGCTCATGGGCTCTAGGATTAGTCCAAGCAGAAAGTGGAAGGCGAGGCAGTAGATCCAAAGACACAAAGATGTTAAAAGTGAAATGATGGGGAAAGATATTGCATACAAATAGCAAATAAAAGACAGCGGAGTGGCTTATACTAATATCAGACAAAATAAACTTTAAGTTAAAAAAAAAAAACTGTTACAAGAGGGGGTACCTAACTAACTGAGGTGGCTCAGTTAGTTAAATGTCTGACTCTTGATTTTGGGTCAGATTATGATGCCAGGGTTGTGAAATCAAGCCCCACATTGGGCTCTGCATTCGGCGGGGGGTCTGTTTGGGACTCTCTCTGTCCCTCTCCCTTTGTCCTTTCTCTCTCTCTCTCTCTCTCTCTCTCTCTCTCTCTCCATTTCCGGAATAAATAAATAGATCTTTTTTAAAAACCTGTTACAATGGATAAAAAATACATTATATACTGATTAAAGGTTTAATTCATCTAGAACACATAACAATTAAAAATACATAAATATCAAACAAAAGAGCCCTCAAACATCCGAAGTGAACATTAATAGAATGAAGGAAAGAAACTGATGGTTCTTGGGACGCCTGGGTGGCTCAGGGGTTGAGGGCCTGCCCTCAGCCCAGGGTGTGACCCCGGGGTACCAGGATCGAGTCCCTGCGGGGAGCCCGCTTCTCCCTCTGCCTATGTCTCTGCCTCTCAGTGTCTCTCATGAATAAATTAATTAATTAATTAATTTTAAAAATATATTTTTTTAAAAAAGAAACTGACAGTTCTAAAATAATAGTTGAAGACCTCAATACCCTACTTCCAATAATAGACGGAACATTTAGACAGAAGACTAGTAGGGCAATAACTACTTAAACAATATCATAACCAACTGGACCTAAAGGACAACATACCCAATAACAGCAGAATATGCATTCTTCTCCTGTACAAACATTATCCAGAAGAGACCATATGTTAGTCTACAAAACAAGTTTCAATGTATTTAAAAATACTTAAGTCATACAAAGTATCTTTTCAGGCTATAAAGGAGTGAAGCCAAAAATCATTAACAGGAGGGGCATTGGGGAATCCCATATAGCAATGGGTCAGAGAAAAAAATCTCAGGAAAATTAGAAAACACTCAAAAATAAACGATAGTAAAAGCACAGCATACCAGAATTTATGAGAATTGATAAAGTGGTACTCAGTGGAAATTTATACCAGTTAATGCCTTTTTCATTGAAAAAAATGAAAGATCTCAATTCAACAAACTAATTGTATACCCTAAAGAACTAGAAAAAGGAGAGTTATCTAAAACTTAAGCAGCAGA